GCAAAGCAGAGTTTGAATACAATCAGACAGTGTGAGTGTGTGTGAGTGTGTGAGAGTGTGTGAGTGTGTGTGAGTGTGAGTGTGTGAGTGTGTGAGTGTGTGAGTGTGTGAGAGTGTGAGTGTGTGAGTGTGTGAGAGTGTGTGTTCTGCTGTAAAGGGGCCTGTGAAAGACTGGCACAACACACACATCAAGTTAGTGGCTCTTAAAGGAAATGAGGGAGAAAAGCTCTGGAATGTGTGTGTGTGTTTGTGTGTGTGTGTGTATCTTTGTGTTTGTGTGTTTGTTTGTGTGTGTGTGTGTGTGTGTGTGTGTCTTTGTGTGTGTCTTTGTGTGTGTCTTTGTGTGTGTGTATGTGTTTGTGTGAGTGTGTGTGTGTATCTTTGTGTTTGTGTTTGTTTGTGTGTGTGTGTGTGTGTGTGTGTGTGTGTGTGTGTGTGTGTGTGTGTGTGTGTGTGTGTGTGTGTGTGTGTGTGTGTGTGTGTGTATCTTTGTGTTCGTGTACCACATTGTCTTTAACAAGCTTGAAAAAAAATTGTGCATTATCGCAAAATTTTATTTGCAACATTTTTGTCAATCAACCTTCCTCAGGCTTTATAATGGACTTTAATCCGACACACTTACCAATGATCTGTGTGTGCGAGACACTTTATTATATTTTTATTGGTTATAGTTTCATTATTTTGTCTGACAATAATAACCCTGAACAATAGGAGCGTCACATTCACTAGAGGACCATGATCTGGGTTTTAAAGTCCCTCTTTTGCATAAACCACAGACTCTAGGAGTTGGTGAAAGATTGACAGGTGCCGTTAATAGAACAAATGGTCACTAATGTGTTCACTGTGTTTAGCTGACATATCAAAAAGTAGTTTTTGATGATTTAGAGCACAGTTTTCTTGGACCTGAAGGGTCAGAAAGCGGATGTTAAACCACTGGAGTGTGAAACCACAGGTAGAACATTTCAGAAGAAGCCGGAGGAAAATAGCAGAACAACAAGATGAGAGTAAACACGTGGGGTCTTATTACATTTTTGGCAATGCACATATTGCACTAAATTATTAACACCATTAAAATTCCATTTGAATTGCGTAACAGTCATTTTCCAATAAACTGAATTCTTTCCTCAAGGTTTCCAGTGTTTCTATCGACTGCAAAACAAAAGATTCCTCTCTCTCTCTCTCTCTCTCTCTCTCTCTCTCTCTCTCTCTCTCTCTCTCTCTCTCTCTCTCTCTCTCTCTCTCTCTCTCTCTCTCTCTCTCTCTCTCTCTCTCTCTCTCTCTCTCTCTCTCTCTCTCTCTCTCTCTCTCTCTCTCTCTCTCAGGAGATCAGCGTGAGTCGAGAGAGAAGGACGATATCAGGACAGGACAGACTGTCTCGGCACCTTTCATGCGCTCGACATGAACTTGAACTCAAAGATTCATTGAAACTAGTTTTACTATGTAAAACTATTCTGGGTTCAGTACTTTTGAGTTGCAGCATTTATTGCATTGTGTCGATTACCACAAAAATATTATTTCCACTTTTCCTTCATTTTCTTTGCTTGCTATGCAGAGCTGTGTTGTTTCAGTATAATAATTTATAATATTTTTCATTATATTTTCCAGCTTAATTTTAGTCAAAGTTTTAGTCAATTTTATTGTATGTTTTAATTAATTTATTTTTAACCCTACAACGTCTATAAAAATGTTTGGTTTGCAGCTCAAATAATACAAGCTTTAAGAGATTAACTGGTGCTTTTTACAAAATATAAGCTTCATAATTCAGCTTTTAAATCCTCATATTGGCCACAATGAAACTTTGAGTGAAAAACACACTACAACACGTGAGAGTGTACGATGTGCATGATTTATCATATAGCATGACTTCATCTTCTCAATGGTTGACAAGCAAACAGACTGAAGTATTGATTGTGCGCTTCAGCAGAATATGGATCAGACAGAATATTGCAATGAGGAAATGTGATTGGCAAACAATGTGCTTCCATCAAAACATCCTGCTAATGACCACCCGTGTGTGTACCGGCGGTGTGAGGAATAATGGAGGAGATGTGATTAATGAGTAATAACTGATGGACCACGTGCTTCTCAGAGGGTTTGGTAAAGAGCAATCAAACTGTTCTAGAATATCAGAGCTCAACAAATAAAGCAACACCTGACTGTGACCTGACAGGATGTGCACACACACACAAACACACACACATGCACGGCACACACACACACACACACACACACACACACACACACACACACAAGCACACATGCAAGCACTTACATGCACTTACACACACACTAACACACACACACACGCACGGCACACGCAAGCACACATGCACTTGCACTTACACACACACACACACACACACACACACACATGCACGGCACACACACACACACACACACACACACACACACACACACACACACACACACACATGCAAGCACTTACATGCACTTACACACACACTAACACACATACACACGCACGGCACACGCAAGCACACATGCACTTGCACTTACACACACACTAACACACACACACACACACGTGCATGCACTTACACACGCACTTACACACGCACTAACACACACACACACACACACACACGCACGGTACACACACACATACACAAGCACACATGCAAGCACTTACACATGCACTTACACACACACACACACACACATGCACTTACACACACACACACACACACATGCACATGCACGGCGCACACACACACACACACACGCAAGCACACATGCAAGCACTTACACATGCACTTACACACACACTAACACACACATACACACGCACGGCACACGCAAGCACACATGCACTTGCACTTACACACACACACACGCACACACACGTGCATGCACTTACACACGCACTAACACACACACACACACACACATGCACGGCACACACACACACACATACACAAGCACACATGCAAGCACTTACACACGCACTAACACACACACACACACATGCACATGCACGGCACACACACACACACATACACAGGCACACATGCAAGCACTTACACATGCACTTACACACACACTAACACACACACACACACACACGTGCATGCACTTACACACGCACTTACACATGCACTAAGACACACACACACACACACACACGTACACACACACATACACAAGCACACATGCAAGCACTTACACACGCACTAACACACACACACACACACATGCACGGCACACACACACACACATTCACAAGCACACATGCAAGCACTTACACATGCACTTACACACACACTAACACACACACACACACACTAACACACGCACAGCACACACACACACACACACACACACACGCAAGCACACATGCACTTACACATGCACTTACACACACACTAACACACACACACACATGCATGCACTTACACACGCACTTACACATGCACTAACACACACACACACACACGCGCGCACGGCACACACACACACACACACACACACACACACACACACACACACACACACGTACACACACACACACTCAAACCCACACACACGCACATTCACACACAATTTGGAAACTGCTGTTTCTTGAGTGGCAGATTTTAATTAATGTTGGAAATGTATTTTGTACTTTTGTACAGTAGCTATTATTCCTGGAATTCCAAACAGCCATTGCAATCACTCACAGTTGCAGTTGCACACAATAACAACTAGCTATTCTGCGTAATGCAAACACTCGAGACTAAAAATAAATTCTAATTTTAGAAAATTGTGTTTACATTAATCCCTATAACATGTTTTCATTTGACCACAATGATTGTTTCATGAATAAGTGTATTTTGATTAGAGCAAAATAGACATACTTGTCTGACTTATATAACAAAGAAAAGAAAAACATGTTTGTCATATTTTAGCAAGATAATAAACAAGGCCTGCAAACAGAAATAAACCAAAATACTTTATTGTGTGTTTGTCCAAACGCTGCATTAAAGAGCAGGGAAATACACCAAAAGGCGGTATAATTAAAGAAAGTTTAAGTCATAAAAGTGATAAAATATGTAGATTTATATTGATTATTTATGCTATTAATTTTAATCATTTAGCAGCCCATATATTTATATTTTCATTAAATGTTCTTTTATGTTTAACAAAGCAAATTTAAAATGTCTCTAGATGTCAGTTGTCAACTTGTGTATTAGAACATTAATAATCATGCATGCATATTCATATAATAGAAGTGTGTTCAATACGCCACTGGCAGAACTATCACATGCTGGTCGATGCACAACACTGTGAATGTTTGAGAAGGGATTGAGACGCGGAACAGATTCCAGGAACCCTTGAGAAACTGAAATGAAAAACAAAACATTTATAAAGCAATGGCAAACATACAGACACAGATCTGCCGCATAAGAATATGCACGCAATCAGACAAAAGGTGGTGCGTTCATTTCTGAGACACATGAAAATCAATATTACAGAAATGCCAAAGCAAATATTTCTAATCTACAGGAGGAATGTGGCTTGAAGGGTTAACAGAGGGCAAAAAAATAAACATTTATCAATATTAGGTTTCCTGGAACGTACATTAGGCGCATCTCATTCCTCATCAGATGACCAAGACATAAATAAGCCAATAATAATGACAAAAACATTATCTTGAATAATGAGAGATTACTGTTTCTTTATAGACCCAGTAGGCTAATGCTGTCTGGACCATAGACTGTAAAAAGAATATGGACAAAAAAATATATTATAAATGTGTAAAATATAATTTGGAAAATATTTAGCTTTCATTTAATTTGTTTCTACTCACTGTAGGAGTTAGACGTATTATTTATTGAAATCGTTTTTTTTGTTTTGTTACACTTCTCTTAACGTTCCCAGCACCCCAGTTTGAAAACCCCCAGCTTAGTAGAACATTATAACATAATATAATATTGACAGAATAATGAGATATGTTATTTAATAGATAAAAACAGAGCCATCGTGACGTTGTTTACGCAGAGGCGCCGTCGCGCGTTGATGACGTAGAATACCTCCGTGAAACAAACATGGCGACTCCGGTACCGGTTGTGGAGGAGGCGGAAGATTATTCCTTTTTGCCCATTGTTCACGACGTTATTAAATGGTGAGAAGTAAATATTCTCATATTTTATGTTTCAAGGAACAGAATGCAACTATCGTTAAAATTCAGGAATATCTCGGTATGTTCGTGTTACTATCGAGACTCTGTAAACAACAGCATCTTATGTGTTTAATGTTGCTCAGTATTAAAGGGAAAGTTCGGCAAAAAAGGAAAATTCTGTCATCAATTACTAACCCTCAAGTTGTTGCAAACCAGTATGAGTTTCTTTCTTCCGCTGAACACAAAAGAAGATATTTTGAATGTTTGTAAAGGACTTCCATAGTGTTTTTTTCCCCATACTATGGTAGTCAATGGGGTCCATCAAATGTTTACTTGCCCATATTCTTCAAAATATCGTCTTTTATGTTCACTAGAAGCGAGAAATTCATACAGTTTTAGAACAATGATGTCATTTTTGGGGGTGAATTGACCCTTTAACGGCCTGTCTGCATTCGCCTGTCATTAGCATGGACAAGGACAGTCCAGACGTGCATCAGGAGCTGAACAAACTGAAGACGAAGATCCAGGAGGCTCGGGAGCAGATTTCTGGCATGCCGGGGATCGACATGAGTCCTGCGCTTCAGGAGAACAAACTACAGACCCTCAGAGAGCAGGTCCAGACCAAGAACCAGCTTCTGCAGAAATACAAGAGCCTGTGCATGTTTGACATCCCCAAACCTTCGTGAGAGAAAACATGAACACTTGTTCACACCGATAGAGGCCACACTGATTCAGTCATGTCATTTTTTATTACTTAGGCTATTTGTACTGTTTGTATATATATTTTATTTTTATTTTGGGCATAGCATTTGCAACATCATGTTTAGTGTCGGTGAATTGCTACTGTATTCTTTACCTTTGTCATAGTTTGTACATTAAATTCAGTCACTTCTTTAGTAGAGGTTTTCAGTTGCACTTAATGAAATCATATTTACTTGAGCTGAGACAATATTGCCGTCTGTCTTAAACCATTTAAATGAGTGAAACGACAAGCAATTCAACAAAAGACAGTTTTGAAGCATTCTAGGTGTTTTCAGGTTATTCTGCATTTTTAAAGAATATATCTGGAATATTTATCCTCAATAGACTTTCAGCAAGTAGATTAAACCGTTTTAGCACTTTATTTTACAATCCTGTTCCCTATGTATGTACTTATTAGTTATAATTAGTGGGTAATAACTAGGTACAAACCCTGAATCTGCACCTAAAACTAACCTTAACCCATGTAGTTACACATAAGTGCTTGTATACTGTAAAATAAAAGTGCTCATATTGAGGACTCATTCCAAGCCATAACACATTAGTACATTTTCTTGGTAACAAGTGTGTGCACAACATACACACGTCAATATTTTGAGCATCCTAGAAGGTATTCTCTTATTTATCTGGAATATTTATACTCAAGGTGAGCTTAAGCAGCAAGTTTAGATGTATATATATTTTAAATATACTTTAAATAATATTTTTTGTTTATTCCAAGCCATAATGGATTAATTAATTACTTGCTGTGTTTGTTTGCATACAAATAGCAACATATAATGTATTTTGGGATTATCCTGCATCTTTTAAGAATGTAACTGGAATATTTAGACTTGATGGGCTTAAGCAAGATAGATGAAACCATATTTTTCTGACTCAAGCCATAATAGATCATTTTCAAGTCGGTTTTGCTGGCATGGGCACACAACAAATGACAACAGTTTGTGCATCTTAGTTTTTTTTCCCCTTCAGATTACTACATTTTAAATATATCTGGATAGGCTTAAGCTGCAAGTTTATATGAAACCATATTTTAGTGTCCTAAGGTATTTTCAGATTGTTCTGCAGTTTTAAGCCCTTGTTCATGTGTTGGTCAAAAATGACTATTTTTGTTTATTTCAATGAAATATCGTACTATATTTTATTCATTTGACTGAACAATACAAGTGAGAATATTTTTTAAGAACATTTAACCTTTTCAAATCATGTCCATGATTTTTGCGTGTTCATACAGCAAGTGGCAAATTTTTTTTGTAAAACTATAAAAATTGACCGAACAGCACCAGATTATTAAAGGAAATATCTGGACTTTATTAGATTTAGCCACTGCAGTCGTAGGCCTGTAAGAACATAGATAAATGCTTTAGAAAGTGACGAGGAAACATGCATATTCTTGACAGTCTTTTATTTCAAGTTTTCCAATGTGTTCAATTCAACAATGACATAGAAGAATAAATATACATTCATTGACAATAAAAAAAATTGTTCAAAATGCAATAAAACATTCAAGTTGATTTCTTTGTGATAAAGTTTAACCAAAAAAAAAAAAAAAAAAAGTAAACAGATGACATTGCAACTCCGTTCAGCACCCAAAAAAGGCAAATGTTTAACAAAGCACATTTTTAAGCATGGAGTTGATACTTGTAAGCCACATCACACAGCGCTCAGACTGAACAGAACAAAGTCGCTATTCTGTACAGGAGATCTCGCGAGATTACATGCGCGTCCACGTCGCGAGGTGAGAGCTCAAGCCGATGACTTTTACCGGTTCGACCGCGACTCTATCGGAGTCACCGGGATTGGCACAACAACCGTGTGCTTCTAATAATAACCGTAGCAGTGCTTTAAACGGCTCGGTTTTTTAGCTAATACTGCATCTTTCTTTGTCTTTGGTCTGTCCGCCTCCTATCGTCTTCTCTTTAATGTACATCAAGTCACTGTGGACGCTCGGGCGGCGCGCAAAAGGCGCAACGATCCCGTACGCGTCTCCGTCCTTAACCTTCTTGCTTCTAAAAGACTTTTTGTGGAGAATGTCACAGTACTGCACGGAAACCTTGCGATGGAGGTCCGGGCTCATCTCGTTGGGGAGTTTTGCGAGAGCAAAGAGTCTCTGAAACATCTGGTCGACGTTCGTGTTCCTCTTGGCGGAGATCTCGAAGTACGCGCATTGCTCGTCCCCTGCGATCAGTTGCTCGATCTCGTCGCGTTGGACCTCGCGGTAAAACTCGCGGTCGCCCTTGTTCCCGCAGATCACCAGAGGCACATCCACGTTCTCTTTGGTCTTGTTTTTAAGGCAGGATTTGGTCTCGTAGATCTGCTGTTTGAGCCGCTGCACCTCGTGGAAAGACTCGCGGTTGTCCAGACTGAACACCAGGATGAAAACGTCACCTGTGGCCAAAAGAAGAGGGGGAATGATTAGAAATGTTGACTTCGAATACAGCAAACAGCATCACTCTAAAAATATAAAAGTTCTTTATTCGTATTGATGGTTCCACGAAGAACCTTTAAAATACACAAATATTTCCATCTCCCCCATAAAAAAAAATATTCATAGTGGGAAAAAACGTTTTACACTAAAAATATGCTGGGCTGTTTCAACGGTCAAACCCTACCGTTAAGTTTAAAAATGTAATTAAAAGATTCAAATATGGACAAACCCAACCGTTTAATTAAAAATTTGAAACCAACGGCTAGGTTTGTCCACATTTGAATCTTTTAATTACATTTTTAAACTTAACGGTAGGGTTTGACCGTTGAAACAACCCAGTATTTTTAGACAGTGTAACGTTAGATTTTTTTAACGTTAGAACTGTTCACTGAAAGGTTCTTCTATTAACCAAAAATGCTTCTTCTATGGCTTAGTTTTATTTGATAAGATATTTACCTGTCAGAATAGACAGTCTCCTCATAGCTGGGAACGGATGATTCCCTGAAGTATCCAAAATGTCCAGTTGATACACCTCTCCCTTGATGCTGTAGAGTTTCCTGTGAAAGTCCTCTATGGTCGGCGTGTACTGTTCCTCAAAGCGCCCGTTCAGAAACCGGGACACGATCGCCGTTTTCCCAACTTTGGTGGATCCGAGAATGACCATCCTGTAGCAGTTTTTCGCAGGGATGTCGAACTCATTCTCTGAAGGACTCATTTTCTTGATCATGTTTATCTCGTGTGTGGTTTTGAGCCGGAGTGGTAAAGAATAGCTGGTTGGGTCGTAAGTTTGCAGTGGCTGTTGCTTCTGAAGATTCTAATGACGGAGACCCGCTATTTAAACGTGCTCGCGCCCCGCCCCCCGTGCGCGTCACCGCGGGCCAGTGCAACAGGTGCGTCAGTTTGTGTGGATCAGTGCTTTCTGGTGCAACTAATACCAGGAACATTTGCTGAGAGGAAAAGTACTTTCACGCTGTGTATCCAGTTCCCAATTTTAAAAAACAATATGTCATTTAACCGTAAAGCATTGTGAATGTTTCTGCGTAGAGGTTAAGAATGCATCTCCTATTTGTACAGTAAAATATTGTTAATATGATGCTTTTTTATTTCATAGGATATGTGTACTGTGAAATAGGCATATTGTTAAAATTATGCTTTTATTTCATAAGCATAGCCTATTTGTACAATAAAATAGGCATATTGTTAAAATTATGCTTTTACTTAATAAGCATAGGCTATTTGTACTGTAAAATAGGCATATTATTTTATGCCTATTTTACTGTAAAGCACTTTGAATTACCATTGTGTATGAAATGTGCTATATAGATAAACTTGCCTTGCCTATTATTAAAAATATGCCTTTATTTCCCAGGCATATAATATAGCCTATTGTTAAAATTATGCTTTTATTTAATAGTCATATTTGTACTATAAAATAGGCATATTGCTAAAATTATGCTTTTAGTTCATGTTTATTTGTACTGTACTGTAAAATAGGCATATTGTTAAAATTATGCTTCTATTTCATATGCATATTTGTACTGTAAAATATTGTTACAATTATGCCATTATTATTTTTAAATATGATTATAGTCTTATAACTTCACAGAATTCCCTACACGATCCACCACATTCGCTTAGATTTCTTTTTATTGCTGTTATGTATACATTGGAGTGTTTCACGCTAATGTTTATGTTATTTAGTTCGTGCCTCTGTTAGTGTTATTGTCGACCACATTACCGGATAAGTCACTTTTCATTGCACCAGTTATCACTACATTTCACAGGGACAACTGAGATTTAATGTGCATATAATTCATTGAAATATAGCATTGCAACAACACTTTTTTTTGGAATGTCCTGAGCATTTTTTCTCCTTAAATGCAACAGTCTTTTAAACATAGCGTCAATCTTTAACGTGCAATGGTGGCATTAATCATGTACGTAGTTCTGGTTTGTTCATATTTGCACTTGATCACAACTTTGGGAACGGACAGACGCGTTAACGGCTCATGGAAATGGAAATAAGGGTTGAAATGAATTTGATACGAGAGTAACAAGTAGGCTAGAATAATTAAAAACAAATAAAGTGAGTCCAGTATGCTCCAGTGATTCATGTTTTCTTCTACAGTCTACATCTAATACAGAAGCGCGCGCCCGCGCATCGCCACACCGCGGCGCAAGTGAATCTGAGCTGCTCGAGCACGACGCTTTTATACCAGCGCGCTCTGGCATGCTTGATTCTGATTGGCTGACAGGCGCTTTAGGGCGTGTCTTTCCCCCTCAGGTCTTGACCGTCTTGACCGCATTTCAGATCATGTCAGTCGTTTCAAAGAGCCTTAAAATCTCTCACAGCAATAGAGGCAGAAAAACACACACAAATGCATTGGCTAAGCAAACACATAAGGTAAAATGAACAAATGTAGTCCAGATTTTATTTTAATAGCTATATATGGAAAGCTCTTTCTGTTTCACAATTAAATCAATAAAATAGCCTATCTTATTGACTTAAGTATTATTTTTTTCAGCAGTGAGGCAGGTTTCTT